GCCTAAAAAGAGATTTCACTGCCCACAAATGCACATTCATTTCAGTAAAAACATACCAGTGATGCCGACACGGTTTATCACACTCGCAGCCGAAAATAATCTCCACAAAGTCAAACCCTGCACACAAACACAAACTTCGTCAAAACAAGATGCAGCACATTGTAGCCGGTCTGCAGTCAGACACGGCAACATAAATGAAAAAAAGCATCTGGAGTCTAAATATACATATAATTTTTAGCCACGATGGAACAGATATCTTGATTATTGAAGACAAAAGGTTCAAGGTATAAGGAACCATGTGATTGTGATCTGATGATATATCAACTGTGATGAACTTTTTGCCTAGTTAACATGGAGAGGTTAGTATGCAGATTTTTGCACCGATTTCCCCCTTCCGACAATCAGGATCGCTCATACAGTCATCTGAAAGAGATATTCCCGCTGTGTGTGTGTGTGGTGTGTTAAGTGACATCTGGTGCGCTCGCCTTAATTTTTCTCTGTCAAATATAAGTTACAAACTATCGCATTTACATCTTCCGAGACGGCCATGTTTGTTTAGCCTGAACTCACATTTGGCCGCAAGAGGTTTTGCGAGATTTTCTATCTGACATCTGAATGTTGGCGAGTGAAATCGGTTTGTATGTGGTGTGTTGGTCCTGCTGTGTGGCTCAACACCACACAAAGTTATAACAATGTACAGCGAGTACAAAGATTTTTTTTTTTTTATTGAGTGTGGTCTCAGGTTTGGAAAATTGGCAGACAATTTTAAAATCTTGCCCTGTGAGCCAATCGATGGCACTCAAAATATTCTTCCTACAATGTCATTTTCCCAACTGGTGGACTCACATGTTCACGCAGACAGAGCAGGTTTGCCGTGATTTCGGAACCATCCAACCATCCAACATTTTAAAGATATTCTGCTGCAAATACTTCAACATGTCAACATGAGCTGCTTGCTTCCCAGTGAATCCATCGCGCATCCTCCGCTCCATTAATGACAGCGTTCTGTGGTCTAGATAAGCCCAGTGGGATGATGACGTCTCCTAAGAGCCTATTAGGAAAAGCTTGAAAGCTCAAGGCTGTTTGGTGCACCGGGCTGCTGTTGCTGGGGGCAGAGGTGGAGGGCCACAGCTGGTCAAAGGCAAACACTCATATGCTAAAGGTCGGGCGCTCATCCCCCGTCCCGTGGCAGTTCACATGCCGTTTCTAACAGGACAGCTTTCTGCAGGACAGTGAGAAGGAGACTGAAGTTGAGTAGCTGCAGAGTTCCACTTCCTGCAGGACCAGGGAGACATGAAGAAATGTCGTAAAGGAGACATCTGTGAAGATCTCCTCAGTAGAGGAGTTCCTGACTGCTAGGAAACCAAATCACAGGGTCTTCTGTGTGTGTTTGAGTCCATGTTTTCCTGCAGAGTCAGATAAAACTTGTGGATTGGGCTCGCAGCTATTAAAGAAAACACTTTCCTGTTATAAGGGCAAATAAATCTGCTTATCCGGCTGCCAGCTCAGATTGTCAGATCTGCTAAAGAAATGTTTGGCTGTGTCTTATTGATGACTTTTCCTGGTACCTGGAAAAAGTCTTTAGCTATGGATCTGATATGGATCCATAGCTAAAACAATTTCTGATTTAAATCAGGAAAAATTTTTATTTTTTGGATTCAGAAAACTATTTTTAACCCCAATAGGTAATATACATAGAAATATGACTGAGATTGCTGCTTTTTCTTTTCAATTCCATTAGTGAACATACATTTGAGAATATGACTGAGTACAGTTACTCTCTGCTGATACGGTAGCATGACAGTACAGTTGCACCATTTCATTTTGCAGACTTCCGCTATATGATCATGATTTATTTTTAGAGCAGTATTGCTGCTTGTGGGGCTCTGACTCTGGTAGGTGTGTCAGCGAGTCGACTGGGGAATATTTCAATTATTTTAAACTTGATGTTTAATCATGAACACAACTCCCAGAGGGCACAATGTAAATTTGGACCGCGAGTCCCACATACAGTCTTCAAAGGACAAATCAGTATTTCCTTTCTTGGGTCAAAGTAAGAGTCTCTAACATAAATACAACAATGTCTTCTCGTTTTAACTATGAAATCTGAAACCTCCACGTCTCATTGACCGAAAATGTTATTTGTCCTAACCATTTCCGGTGTGCGTTTCCACTGCGGGGTTCAAAACAAGGTCATGCATGTAAATCATGTCCACAGGAGCAGGTAACTCCACCCACTGCACCAGGGTTGATACAACGTCTTGTTTGGCAGTTCGGCGTGTGTGAGAGTGGGTTCCCATCGAAACAATAAAATCTCTCAGTTTCAATATTAAAACTATTAGAAATGATTCAGTCAGAGCAGCAACACTTTATAACAAGTATTAAAGAGAAAATATCATGCAAAATTAAATTTTTATACTTCCTATTTGGGCCTCAACTCGTTTTAAAAACGTCCAGACATTTTTGGCAATAGGTTCACATTTTATTGTGTCTGGAAAATGAGCCGTTTCAAAAACCAATTGATCGAAACTGCGCCCTTAGCTAGTAATTTGTCACCTAGCAACCCAAGCTGCAATGTGTACATCAGCACGTTGCATGATGTACAATGGCTACTGGAATGGCAAGACAAATGTTTTGTTGCTGATCTACCATCCATGCAAGTATAAATGTTGAGTTGAGGGATGGGGTGAGTAGCCACTCAGTTGGATTTAAAGTGCAAAGTGGCCCTAAAACAGCTCATTCAGAAAGTGAGCAGACGAAAGTCTCACCAAGAAAGATTTTGTACAAAAAATGTAAGCAACATGTTTTTTTACAGACCACAGACTTATCCTAACTTATCCTGACCTGTTCAAGGAAGCATAACAGGTCACCTTTAAGTCGGTACAAAGTCCTTGGTGACGTATCATTTTAACCATGTTAGAAGGTGATTAGACAATCTACATTCATGTTTTCCACTTTGAAAGCTCTTGGTAAGGATTACAAGTGTTCGACATTTTAAAAACAGAATTTAAACCACCAGGCTGAATGAAAGATCTTCGAAATATCAAGAAAGCCAATGAAACGTCATCTACCTCTGTAAATAAACACCGACGCTCTGCACCTTGCAGGTTCTAATGAAGCTTTCCTGAACATTGACATAACTTGCATCAACCCATCAGTATCCAAAACTTCTTTTCAATGCAGCTCAATGAACATATTGAGCAACCCTTCCTGGATTTTTAACTCTGCACTGATGTAACAACATAAATGAATTAAGGGAATGCAAGTTTTCCAGGAATTTGAAATTTGGCTGAACTTTGCTTTCATACCACTGTGTTTCTCTACATGCCAAAAACAGCCAAACCCAGGGGCAAAACAAACAATGCAGTAAAGCTCACAGGACAGCCTTGGCAGTACTGATGGACTCGCAATGCTGAACTGCTTTTCACTGATAGAGAGAAGTTTATCTGAAGCCAACAGGCTGACTGTATCTGAATGAAGATTGACTAAGCGAGACGCTGCATCTTTACACCTACGTCATGTCTGGGCTACGTGCCCCGGCTGCTTCATGTGGGCAGCTTAGTTTCATCTTGCAGCCAAGAAAAATCATTTTTTCCTCCTCGAGTACAACTTCATTTATGTATGCCGTTTCTTTTAAAACTGTTCTGTGTGACTCCCGGTTAGGGATTACAGAATTACAGGTGGGTGGTTTTGCTCCTCCCCTCCCCTCCTCACATCCCCACAAGGGCTAAAAGTGAACCCATCCATCCATGATGGGCAGTGAAAGGCTAGTCTTGTTGCCTAGGGCTTACATACACCTGCTCCAACTGTGCACTCCGGGAGCTTGGCCAGTCTGTGAGACACTTCAGCACCTGATCGGGTTTTTTGGGGCCTACATGACAGATATTATGTGAAATCAAAGGTTACCGCTACATATGACCGTAAACACACCATCCCTTTAAGAAAGTAAGAGCTGTGGCAGCAATAACCTGTGAGAATGTTTTTCACCAGAGTAAGAGTTGGTCAGAGATGGGACGGTAGATGGAGGTGAAGACAGATAATGTCTTCACCTTTATCTGTGAAGGTGAAGACATTCACCTTCACAGATAAAGGTGATGTGTTTCTACAAGAGAAACACATCAAAAGCTGCTAGTGACCTAAAGCTACTGTCAGAGCATACAAGTTAGTGTGATCTAGTCAAAGTCCAGAACAACAACCCATTAAGAAATTATGGCGAGATTTGAATTTGGGTTATTTTACAAAGAAAAACTGGCATTAAAGCCAGTCTAGATATACAAAGATGGCAATTGCAGCTGCATTGCTGCGAAAGGCAGCTCTACAACCTAGTGACTGAGGGGGAGCTGAATACAAATACATGCCACATTGTACAGATTTTTATTTGTTGAAAACAATGTGAAGACCCAACTTTTGTTTACCTTCTTTTCATCCATTATGTCTTGCTTTGTATGGTTGTATGACAAATCCCGAATAAATAAATAATAAAGGGATGTGAATGCTTTTTTGTGAGCCTTAATCATCCAGAACTCTCAGCTTGCCTAAATATGGAGCCAAAAAAAAAAACTACTTTTGTATAAGCTAAAGTGTTTTTGAGTTACCTTTAAGAATCCAGCAGTTAGCAGTTTGCACCTGAAATAAGCTTCCAGGCATTTTCTCCTTTCAGCAGAAGAGGAATCTTAATTTCTGCTGTGTAAAGCTGCTCATTTAAAGGTCCAGATGTTCAGATTTAAAGCTTCTACACCCAGTAATAAGAAGCTGGACCAGCTCAAGAATTTCTCCTACAAGAACACCCAAAATTCCCACGACCAGCTACAAATCATCAGCAGACAACAAGTCTCTGCTTGCAAAGAGCCGTAACTCTTACATGAAACCAGCCCTGATCCCGCATGTGTGCAGCAGGACTTATTTCTTGGACACCACCCCCTCAACCTCCACTAAAAAAACAAACATTTTCATCACAAGGCTGCTTCTCTTTAAATATAGTCTGTTCATTGAGAACTTACTATTTTGCTCAGATCCATCGTAGTCCTTCAAAGCGGTGAGCCAGGATCCTAGAGCCGCTGGCTTCCCTTTTCCTCTCTTTTTAAAATCCGGAGTAATTAGCGACGGGAAAGCGACTGAGGCAACAAATGCATTTGGGAGGAGAAGAGGGAGGTGGAGCGCCCCGTTAGCTCAACATGTGTCCTGATTTGGTATTTTTTAAAAAATGTCCCTGTATCCTGTGCTCCCTCCCCACCCCTCACTCTTCCGCGTCCCTTCTCCCCTCTCGCTCCCGGCCCAACGCGCTCCCTGATCGGCGAGGACTTCCAGCATCCGACCGCCGCGAAGCAGAGGCTGTGCGCCGGGGAAAGCAGCGGAGGAGCGTCGCTGATGCGAGCCGCTCAGCCTCACAGCAAAACCCGGCAGCGGCTCACCGGGTATCGCCCCTCATCGCGGCCAACACAGAGACAGGAGGCTGCCTTTGTTTTTGCAAATAGCCCGCGACCTGGTAAGACAATAGTAGCATGGAGCCTGCGGAGTGGGATGGCTCAATCCCCGAGGGTTCCCAAGATGGGGCCCGGGGACCACCGAGGGGTTCCGGCGAGGAAAGGGGAGGATGGGGAGGAGTTAAGAGCTTAGGATATGAACCTGGAGTAATCTTACATAATTAAACCTAACTCAGACACAAAAATAGTAGTATTATCTTCCACTTAAAAAAATAAAGCTTTTCCTAAAAAAAACAAAAACAAAAAAAAAACACTCCCCTCCTTAGAAAAACCTTTGATCATCTGTATTCACACACTATGCATCTACTGCAATAGTTTTGATTATCTAGACACAAAATACAAACAATAGCTTATATTCTCAGCTTCTATATAAAAAATACCCCTGATTCAGATTGCATCTGAAGCTTTATCAACACCCATCCAGCTCTCTAGAGGCCCTGGGCCAGACAACAAGACTTCTATATTTAAACGAGCATCAGATTATTATTTTTCAGGCAAAACTGAAGATGCTGCTTTTATTTTGGTAAGGGAGCTTTTATTTTGCAGTGCCGTTTCTGTTTGCTGAGGCTACCTGCACCAATGTCATCTCATGGAGCAATAGGGCTGGGCGATGCAACTTAAAAATAAACTCAGATTTTATGATACCAAATCCAAATCTGACTGAATTTTTCCCCCTCACTTTCTTTTCTTAAAAAAGAAAATCACAAAAGACAGAAAATATTTCCAAAAACTGACTTATTTTAATCATTCCGTCTGCCAATGCATCAATTGCTAATGTTGCTGTTTGCAATACTTCATTGTCACTACAACATCCAGCCAGTTAGATAAAGTTTCACTGCAGCAGATGTTCACATCTGACACAGACTACAGTAACAAAGCTGCTAAAGGTCACAGAGATTACTGAAAGCAGCAATGCTACAGAGTCCAATGTGCTAATATTTTGCAGCCCTATTCTTTACCACTTATTTCCTGAAGTCAAAGGTAAGAGCACTCTGTGTAGACCAGCTCTGTTCTCAGCAATCACAGCTTGCGTCAAACATAGTACAGGCTGAACAGGAAAAACAATAACTTTTTTTTTTTTTTGACAACGTTCTTCTTACAGATAATCATTAAGAGAAAGATAATGTCAGTGTGAGCATTATTTCTGTCATCAGCAGAAAATAGAAATCATACTTGGAGATTTTAAACTATTTCTGGAATAACTACCGTTAGTAAATAATATTCATAGCAACACGTATGACACTTTGATAAAATAATTTTCCCACTCATAGTGATATCTGGTGACAAAAAGTATCTCAAAAAATGAAGAAAGAAAAAAAATAATGAGGCTCATGCTAAATTTACCCTATGGAGGCGATTCTGGGTAAGTGATGCCCCCATCTGGTCAAACTGAGATGGTTTCAATTTTGAGACCATGAATTGCAATACTATTCTGAGTCTGAAGGTTGTGACAGATGTTATCCAACATCTGTCACAACCCCAGAATATCAAAGAGCTTTATATACACAGAGAGAATCACAGCTTATAAAAAAAAGGGAGGGGATGGGGAAGAGGACAAATTCTGCTCCAGAATATTCACTATAACCAGAGTAAAGCTTAACATTCTAAAACAGAAGCGTCATTTATCTTCAAGCTGCATCAGCACCATGCCATCTGATTACTTATTTTTACTTAAATTTTTCAATTTTAGACTCAGACCTATTTATTCTGACTTGGTAAAAACCATCATCACCTAAATTCTGGGTCATTCATCAACTTGCAAGATGTTTTAAAATGCAGTCACTGGGGCACAGTGCTCCAACTCATCAGATTTCTGCAGATCAGTGCATATTGGTAGAAAAAAAAACTACACACTTAAATCTTCGGCAGCAGTATATGCAAAACGACCTTAAGGCTTGGTTTATGAGCGACAAACAAAAAGAGTTGACTTTGTCAATTGCTAGCGTGATCTACAGGGCAACTATATCTGCAACATACTGGAGGATTTGTGGAGAGGAAAACTCTCATCCACCTCTTCAACACAACAATATCAAGGAGTTACATTGTAGAGGCGGACTGAGCCAAACTGTCATTAATGAAAAACAAGATCAGTCTTGTTTTTTGAAGGTGTTGCATGCCAAATGTCTGTCTGCACATTTCTAATTTCATAATTGAGTGGTTGATGCTGTTCCAATCAGGCTATGTGACCTAACCACATCTCCAAAATTTGTGTTTCATGTTTTCTCTTCTGACTTGCATAAGTAAACATGGTGCAACTCTGAATTAAGTTTGCACAGTAAGAACTGAAAATGAATCCGTTTGCTCCAGCTCTATTCTCCATCTTCTATGGTTACAACTCAAGTCTGCTGTGGTTGGTAGCTGTAAAATGGGAACATTATGACCAAAAATATAAAATAACAATCAATAAGCAGGATGGTACAGCTGATCATAAGATAATTTTATTAGTTTATATGTACAGTTCTATTGACTCCATTTAACACATTTCACAACACTACACATTTTTGCACAGCTTAATAAACGTCTTGACTGAGAAACTATCCGATCATTTTTAGCCTTGGCAGTTTGAAAAAAACAAAGCCTGATCTATTTCTGATTAAGGAATTCACTTCAAGCAATATCGGGTTGTGCCGACAGTAAAACTTTTTACTGTCGAAATTTTTTGTTTAGCCGTTTACAGTTTCAGTGACGTTTTTCAAAAATAAACTCAAAAGTAGCACAGAGGTTTAGGACAATATTTAGAACTGTATCTTCCACAACATGCCAAGACATGGCTTTGGTTCAATCAGACTAGAAGACGAAAGTGAAATAGAGCAAGCCCTTTAACATAACAGGAAGGTTGAAGATATTGCAGCCAAATTCCTCCCTTTTATCAGTTTTCCAAAGCATCCTGGACTTCAAACTCTTGGCAACATTTGGACACTTTAGAATCAAGGTAAAGAATTACAACCTTCAATTACAGGAAGACAGCTGCTTAAATAATGCTAGCCAGGCTAGTCATGCAAATGATTAGCATGAAGACAATACTCCAACAGAGTAACCTTTTTTTAACTCTGTCTCTCCTTTTTATGATATATTTTTTTACAGCAACTTATCTTTCATGTACAGAGTTTCTTTGCCTTTGCTTCTATGACAGAAAGGTTTTGAAAAAAGATTTACAGTGCTATTCTTATGTCATTATGTTAAAAAAAGAGAGATCAGGGTATGGATAATTAAAACTACACCAAAGCAAGTTCTAAAATATAAAACAAATAAAATATAACATTTACTATAATTTTGTGGGTTGTTTTCTAAATTTGCATGTTTGCATTTTTATTATGTTCCCTCTGAATATTATTTTAATTCTGCATTTTTACATGCAGAAGCACAGTTTTACAAGAATGGGGTTATGGTTACCATTTACCCCTGTATATAATGAAGATAATAATAAAGAAGAAAAACTTGACAAAAATTTATTACATCCCTTCATCTGCAAACGCTAAAGAAATCCAATGCAAAAGCGATTTGGGACTTTACTATTTTATTGCCTTTTTAAAACCGATGGGGAAAACACAAGAGAACCATTCTGATGTAAGCAGGAACATAACTAAATCTAGCTTAATTACGTCAATCTAAAAAGCATCATGCACATAACTTTGGGTTGGCGTCTGACCTCGCTAGGTCTGGGATAACAGACAAAAGACACTGAGGCAGCTTAAAGCCAAACAACAAGTCACAGCAATCCATTTTTCAAAACCTTGCCAGCCTCTCCTGCACAATCACCAAACAACAGCTGACCAGCTGAGGCCAAGCCAGCCACCATGATCAATATGCTTCTCATTAGGCCGCCGGGACTGCTGCACATTATACTTCGGGCCTCTCAGCAGACCGCCTAAAAACAATGCCAACTATTTTCTGCTGAGTCTCTTCACTTCCTGGTACGGCGTGGGCCCTTCACCAACTGCTGTGCATTTCTCACATGCAGCTGTCCCACTCTGTCTCAGTCTGGCTTCTCTCTCTCAAACACTCAAAGAGTTCACCCACCTGGAGCAAGGTTTACGCCAATCTTTCACAATGTTTAGTTCTCAAACATGTCTTCAATTGTAGACTAATTCAATTGTTTTTTGGAAAAAAAATATTTATTCAGAAAAAAAACCAAAAAACTTAGTTTTAGTGTTTGCATTACTCACATTTCATTGTTCAGTTATGTCATACATATACAAGGTTTATGTAAAACTTGAAGCATTAACATCTGAACACCAACTATAATGTTTCAGAAAAGCTAGCATTTTCAAAAGACTTAAATAAATAATGCTTAGTCTGGTGGGGACACAAAGGGAACTAGGGGGAAACACTGTATATACACTAAAACTGCATAGTATAACCTTAACTATTTACATGTTGGTTGGAACTGTATAGACACCGGATGAAAGAAGAGAAGGATGGCTACATTCTTGGAAGTGATTGTTTGGCTGGATGTGGAATAGGCTGGTTTCTTGGAATTACCCAGATGGTTAGAGGGCTGGTATTGGATAGGTGAGATTCCAGAAAAAACAATCTCCCCAGTTTCCTGTGCCACCTCCCAATGGTCCGTTCTGTGCCTAAATCTCAATTAGCACACACCTGCGTTGTACTTGAAAAGAGCCGGGGCTGAAAAAAGAAAAACGAGGGACAACGGAATGATGTTTATGCTTCCTTCGTGCGTCACTTGCCTCACACTCTCTTTCCTCCCTCAAGTATGGTTTTTACACTTCATGGTCGCACTGCTGCAGCTGCTGCCGTCCTGTTTCAAGAAATATTCACTCTGACCATCAGTGTGACACTTAGTAAATCTAAAAATAATTATTTAATGAAAAAAAGTTATGCAGACTTTGAGGATTTTTGATTTTAATAATCTCCTCCACATTAATCTTCCTCAAAAAAACAATACCTGTCATAATTATGTGGGTCAATTGCCTTTGTAAAATCAAATCTTTTGATTTTTTTTTTAGGGGGTTACATCAAACAAGTACAGCATGTAAAAACAGCCAGTCTTATTTTAAGACAGTGGTCTCAAACTGTGTTCCCCAAGGGCTGCTTTCTTGCAGCTTTTAATTGTCTCTCTGCTTCAGCACACCTGGCTCCAATATTAGCTCATTAGCAGAGCTCTGTAGCGCTCGACTGCATGCGAGTGAGGCAGTTTCACCATTTAATGCAAGTGTGTATGAGAAGGGACAAATCTAAATGTTTCAGGACTGCAGTTTGAGATCAATGTCCGAAGAACAGTTTATGGTGACTTCCAGTTCTGCGTTGAACTCTTCATTGTTACATATATATATTTCCTCATTTCAATCCCACTTGGAATCTGTCATCATCTTGAACTGAAAATTTCTCTCTACTAAATATAGATACATGCACTAAGGCACCAACATAGCAAGCTACGTCCTGGATGGTT